GGTGGATGAACACACGTTGGTTTCGGTGTTCATGCAGGGTCTTGCGGATGGTCCCGTCAAGACTCACCGGTTCCGGCTTGAACTAGATTCACTAGAACAAGCCATTTCCATTGCGGAACAGAAGACTTCAGTCTGAGACAGGCTCGCGCCAGCTCGACATCATATCGTCACCCGAGACGATATGACAACGGAGGTCCAGAGCCGATGGAACTCTGCTATGTAGAGAGCGATAAGGCTCGCTCTACAGACTACAAGAAGTTGCAGAAATGCAACAGATGTCAGATAACAGGGCACTACGCTTACGATTGTAGTGCCCCTCGTCCAGTGTCTCGCAACACTGGGCGTAATGACCGTCCACCCATGAGAAAGGGGCAGGGACGAGGGTCCGCTGTTGGTGCAAAGACGCAACAACGGGATGGACCGTCAAAAAACGGACAGGATCAGTAGGTGCGGAGCACCTTACTGGTCCAGCAACGTCAAGAGAATTTGTAGGCCTCTTGATGTAGGTTGCTCCCAACACACAATCATTGTGCGTTGCTGCTCTAGGTAATGAGGTCTCACTCATTACCTTGAAACTCGAAGCGACGAATAAGTTGTCCCTTCAAGCTCTAGTCGATTGTGGGGCGTTCAACAATTTTGTGCGACGTAAATCGCTGGAAGATGGTCACTTTAAGTTCAGTGAATGTGACACACCTCCTACGAGGATGACGGTACGTCTTGCGACAGGCGCATCCGAAACCGTCATGAAGCGTATAATGAAGATTCACTATACGCTAGAAGATACCCAATATGACGATGACTTTATCGTATTGGATTTGGATGACAAATTTGATGTCATCCTTGGAATACCGTGGCTCAGAAGGTACGAACCACGGGTAAACTGGCAACATCGGACAGTAACGATGCCTGCCGCTTGTTCATCAGATGGCCATCTGATGAACGTTTTGGAGCGTCCACAAGCGTGTGGATGTACTACGAGTGAGTGCGATGGCCTCACTTGTGGTACGGTCGTTAGTACGACTGCACAAAACCTTAGTGTGACCAAACGGTTACACTTCGGAGCAAAGTTCCGGCGGCTGTGAGGAAACACAGGCTGCGCCGAAGGTCCACCACTCGAATAAGTCGAGTGTACCGGGACAAAGATGTATCCCTAGAGGGGAACATCTAGAAGAGAAACAATCGATCGCTCAGGTTAAGCGAAACGATAATCCTAGATCGACTGGAGAGTCTTTCGTAGAGGATCTCGCTGTAGTTGCGCAACCACAGCTAGAGGAAGTAAAGGGAATAAGTCCCAAGATTACAAATACGGCGGAAATAAGTTCCCCGAAACCCGCGGGAATAAGTCCCCGGGAAGCCGAAGGAATAAGTCCTTCGAAGCCTGAGGGAATAAGTCCCCAGGAAATGACAGAGACATTGAATGTCATAGACAATAACGGATCAAGTGTAGGCGCTTATAAACTTGATCTGATTGCGCCTCCGAAGTTGACTTCGGAGATCACTCAGTTGCCAACGCTCGAACATAAAAGGTTCTTGCGTGATCTGCGTAGTGGCAAAGTCAAGCAGATCTGCGTACTCGTCGCTGACGACGAGTGTGTAACCGACATAAGGTCAGCAACAGTGTTCACTGAGAACGAGAGAGTTCTCAGTAGTTCATCTATGGACGAGAGTGTCCTAGATGAAAAGACACGAATTGAGCGATATGACTCCCAATCGTGGGAATCGCTCAAGACAAATCCTTTCTATGAAGATTTGGTTGAATTCAAGGATGTATTCCCTGAAACTGTTCCGTGTGAATTATCGAAGGATAAAGGTATTCGACACGAGGTCGAGCTCAAACCAGGGTCGAAGTACTGTGTCATGAGGCAGTGGCCACTGCCTCGTGAACAAGTACTTGCGATCGACAAGTTCTTTGCCGATCGTTTAGCTGCGGGCTATGTGAGGGAATCAACTTCCCCACATAGCTCTCCGACCTTCTGTGTGCGAAAAGCAACAGGAGGGTGGCGGATTGTGCATGCATTTAACAAGTTAAAAACTGCAACGGTACCGGCTCAGACGCCGATGCCAAGGAAGGACGTAATCATTGATGGTATGTCAAAGAGTACCATCTTTTCGTCCATGGATTTGATGGATGGCTTCTATCAAATCCTTATGCGAGAACGGGATATACCCTATACCGCAGTTAGCACGCCTAGCGGCATGCTCTGGGAATGGCTAGTAATGCCACAAGGGCTCAGTAATGCCCCTGCCACGTTCAACAGGTGTGTATCACATCTGTTGAGGCCAGTACGAGAATTCGCGCCGAGTTATTTCGATGACGTATTCATCCATAGTCGAGCTATGGATGGAAAGTCGGATGTTGAGGTTCACAGGTACCACGTCTGACAGGTTCTTACAATCATGCGAAAGCATCAATTATATGCCAATCTCAAGAAGTGTATATTTGCAGCAAGCGAAGTACCACTTCTTGGGTGCATCGTTGGTAAGAACGGTGTACGTCTGGATCCCGAAAAGATTAAGCGACTAGCCTCTGGCCTGTGCCAGTTGATGTCAAAGGTCTTTGAAAATTCCTTGGGCTAGCGGCGTATTTGCACAAGTATTCATGCAATTACGCCAAGATTACTTTGCACCTCTCTCGTTTGTTGAAAAAGAACGAGAGGCGGTTATGGAACGCTGAATGTCAACGCTTCTTTGATGGTATCAAGCAGAGCTTGATACAATTCCCAGTCCTAGCAATTGCTGATCAGGACAGGCCATTTCATGTGGTCTGTGATGCCAGCGATTTCGCAATCGGCTGTGCATTTATGCAGTACGATCTTGAAGGCGTTGAACACGTCGTCTGCTATCAGTCGTGTCAGCTTCAACCAGCTGAGCGGAACTATCCAGTGCATGACAAGGAACTCCTCGCCATGAAGTATGCACTCGCGAAGTTCAGAGTCTATCTATTAGGAGATAGACCCTTCATTGTTTACACTGACCATGCGTCATTACGCACGGCAGTGAACAGCCCGCACCTTTCACAACGAATGGCACGGTGGTTGTCATTCTTTGCAGAATACAACTTTACGGTCGAGTACAAACCAGGACGACTTAATGTCGTCGCTGATGCACTCTCACGTCGTCCCGACTTTGAACCAGTCGCGAAACCCAACAGTGAGATAGTCACTGTTGCGGTTACGACGTCCTCAGTCCCATCTACAACGTTGTATGATGATGTGAGGCGGGCATACGCCCAAGATGGTGAGATAGTGTAGTTGTTGACACATCTCTCCCAACCATCTCGAGAATCGTTGAAACGATTGTCGTCTGCGTATCGATCTGCATCAGATCGATACACTACTCGTAACGGTTTACTGTATTACACAGCCGTTTCTGGTGACACACCACGTGTTGTCATCCCAGATGATACTGATCTGCGTTTGCGGATCATGTTCGAGTATCACGATGCTCCTATAGGAGAACATCATGGCCGAGAGAAAACATATCTCACGGTGAGTCGAGACTTTTACTGGCCCCGCCAGTATCAGTTTGTGCGCAAGTATGTTCGCGCATGCGAAGTCTGTCAACGAGTGAAGTCAAGTCCTTCACTGCGTGCACCTTTACAGCCTCTACCGGTTCCGGCTGAGTGCTGGGAATCTATCTCAATGGATTTCGTCTTCGGGTTACCCAAAGACGCACGCGGGAATACGGGTATTCTCGTATTTGTTGACAGATTCAGCGAAATGGTACACCTAGTGGCTGTACCAGAGTCAATCACGGCAAGTGGCTGTGCTTGTGTCTTTATTGACACCATCTTCCGACTTCATGGGTTGACCCGTGAGCTCGTATCATACAGCGATCCACGCTTCACAGCTGATTTCTGGCGTTCCGTGTTCAAATCACTCGGAACGCGCTTGAAGATGTCAACATCTGATCATCCAGAGTCAGATGGTCAGACGGAACGTGCCAATCGTGTCCTTGAAGAGATACTTCGAGGATACATACACTCCTTCAAGAGTTGGAGTGAGTTCTTGCCAATGGTTGAGTTTGCCATTAATAACTCGGTGCATGCGTTCACGACACATACACCGTTTTACGTGAATGGCTTACGCCATCCGCGTGTACCCACCTTACTAGAGTGTAACTCTGGTTTAAGGGGGGAGGGACTCGCGCGAGCAAAAACCGATTTGGTTCACGCTCATCACGCTATGACGAAGAAGTCATTGCGTTTGATGCCGATATCGATAACATCGATACCGAAGAAGATGATGCCAGTGAGAGTGCGGAAGCCCTCACTGAAGAAAAGGTTGATGTTGCTGCAGTGCGCTCACAGCACACTGAAGCTAACGAGTCATCAGATGAGTTCATACTGGCTCGTGAAACGGTAGTCCGTTTTGTGCAAGACTCCATCAACGAAGCGGTGGATAAGCAAAAGCAAAACGCTGACAAGAATGGAAGGGCAAACACTCTTTTATTTAATAAAGGTGACTTAGTCCTACTGTCTACGGATAATCTACCAAAGTATGTAGTGACTAACTTGGGTAGCAGTAAACTACTACCCAAGTACATCGGCCCATTTCGTTTATTGCACCGCCTAGGCAATGCATAAACGATCGAGTTGCCACGTAAGATGCGAACGCATCCCACGTTTTACGTTGGTCGGCTTAAGCCGTACCATCGGTACGCTGCTTCTTCCGATGAAGAACGCCCTTGCGCTCAAGCATCGCGCAGAGAGCCTTGTGTTCCCGATGGTGGGCATCGACAAGGGTCTGAAGAGCATTAATCTCATCCCGAGACCGATCAACAATCCCACGAGCTACCCTTAGCTCGTCACGAAGAGATGTCAGAGATCTCTTGTTCTCAAGCTGAGCAAAGGCAAACTCAGCTCGATGCTTCGAGACAGTGTCCGCCATTTGGAGACGCCTGTCCCGCTCATGTTCGAGATCGCCGCGTAACCCTTGCGTTACGCGATCAAAGAAGCTCTCGGGAACACACCGATCCACATGATCGTGTGGAGAGCGTCTTTACTCCGCCTCTACCTCCATTAGAGGACTCTCGCGGTGGCCAGCGCTAGCTAGTTGAGCAGCTGTTGATCCACCGCGACGTGAACGGACGTCGGACGAGTTATCTCGTCCGATGGCGCGGCTATCCCCCGTCCTGGGATTCTTGGGAGCCCCGCTTCCAACTGATGGTTGACGTACTGGGTCTGGCTGAGCAGTACGACGCGGCACATCCTGTGCCGCAGAAGGACCTCCGGAGAAAGTCTTCCCGGCACGGTCGTAAAGGAATTTCAGGTTGTCAATCCCTTCTTACATCTCAGTAGAGATACGTACGCGCCACCACGGGCTGGTAAGAAGGTAAGCCTCCTTAGGTGCTCGTGCAGAGTTGTTCACACAACATGGGCACGAGTCTCCCCAAGAGAGGCAGGGTAATCCTTTCTCCTTCAACAGACAATGCAGCTTGTAGCGTGCACCTGTCGGGGTTCGCTTTTCAAACTTATCACGAGCCTTGATAAGTTTGTCGTTCCAAACGTCACGACCTACATCCTCAAGGTTATGGATGTAAGCGTTCCACGCCTGAAGCAGTGAGGATCCATCACGCTTGTAGTTCCCACTGTACCATCGATGTCTAAAGAAAGCATCGATGAAGAATTCATGTTCAGCGCGATAGTTTTTCGCGCTGGGGTCAAGGTGATGGATCCTTGACGAATCGAACAACCGTGTTCGATAACGATCACTTGTCGGCGACGACAAGTGATCCATGACAGATTTTGGAGGCATCCACGCCTTCTTCTCAGGAGCGAGACGCAAGACATTGCGGTCCATCTCTTCCTGCGATGTGCCGACAGAAGTACTGGCACCTCGTTGCAAAGTGGTGTCCATAGGAGAACCGACACCACTGTTAGCGCCCGAGTCTCGCGACCTCGAGCGCCTACGCTTCGGCGATGGTTCATCTGATTCATCAGATGAATCAAAGATGCTACGACGCAAAGCATCATCCTTGCCACGCTTGGCAGGCGGCTTGGATTCTATCGCCGTCGATACGGATCCGTCTTCCGTATCAGGAGAGTATGAGACTCCGAGCTCATACTCTGTGAAGACATGAGTGTCTTCATGACCAGCGCCTGCATCACCAAGTGACACAGGCTGAGTCGCTTCAGCAACCGATGAGACATCAGTTGCTGTGGTTTCTGCTTCGGCGTCCGCACAGAGACATGCGGACGCGCTCTCGGCGGCCTTGCTCGCGCATCGCATGGGCTTCTAAACCATGCGATGTGATGTTGGAAAGTGGACTCGGACCAACAAGTGCAAACCCCGTCCCAACTGATTTGGGACGAGTATCCATTCAGTCAATCAGTCACTGAAGTGACTGATGGTTAAGGGGGGGGTGATGTAACGAGGTGAATCGTTACATAACAATTTACAAGAAATTGTTAATATAAAATAACTATAAGAGTTATATTCTCAGAATATTGTCATAAGGACGAATATTCTGTAGCACTTACGAGTAGTTCCTAATTGGTTGATATAGGACATTATATCAACCAACGAAGACGCGCCACGACAGACGCACGCAATGAGTGGTGAGCAGATAGTTGATATGCACATTTGTATTCAGACATAGTTAGATGAAGATAAATAGTGATTTATTGCAGACATTAACTATACTAAATACAGTTCTACTTTTTACTTTAACCAATTACTCGCTTCTTCTACTGTCTTCCTCTGCACGTACGAGTGTACGTGAAGTATCATGGCACCGCCTCATTCTGTCATCAGAATAAGTAGCTTGTACTGTCATCAGTACAAGCTTCAGGGTGCCCCGTTACAAAATGTTACAATTCTTGCAAAAAATTAGTAAAAAATATTTTTTCCTTTTGATTGCACCATTATCCTCCATTTGGCATATCATAATTCCTCCTACTAAACAAATCCATTGAACGTTCATTTCTTGCTGACTTGATGTCCACTCTCATCCACGGGTCGAGTCTGAGGCCGACATCTTCGATCGTGAGTGGCTTCGTCACTGTAGCTTTCAGCGCAAGTTGTTAAGGTAAAAAGACTCGTGCTGAAAGATTAAGTGCTAATTCGACTGGAAAATTACCTGCGTTGTGGTCAATACGCAAAATTGAGGAATGCATCTCTTCCGGCATTTATGCAATAAGATGTACTTATTTATCTTCCTGAATATCTCCTTGATTTTGATGGTAAATAGACCTCATTTCTGGAGTGCGTTGTCTGAACGGTATCGCTGATTTTTGATTTCATATATCTTATCCAGTAGTGCTTGCGTACGTATCTCCAACAATCATTCTGGATCGCTTTCGTCCTCGCCAAAACTTAGTTGTCGAACCTTATCCGCCCGCCCTCAAATAATCGAAATCTTGTTGCCCAAAAACTTGTATTTATTTTCAGTATAGAACGTGGCTCCGACCTCGTTCATCATGGACCGGTGAACTTCGTTAGATGTCTCACGTATGTACGTAATGGTTTCATTAAAGGCATCATGCGCAATATCTTGAATCCAGGCGTTGCTTCAGCACGTACAAACGCCTTGTCTTACTTTGTTTATCTAAGATACGTGGACGATAGTCAATTCGAATCGATCAGCTTGACCATCGAACAATAGTGTGCGTTCTCATCATCTAATGCTACAAGCTTTCTCATCACCTAGTTCTTCACCCATCTGCTATAACGTCGAATCAGTTTTTTGAACGCCTAAATCGTACGGTAGAGTAATCTGAAGCTCACTGTACGCACTAAAGCTCGCCTTTAAAAACATAGACGCGGCGAACTGTTACACTGATTCCCAATGGCTCCAAAGAGTGTTGTTGTGCGATTAAATCTCACTATCAGCACCACCCTAGGTCCAAAATCACGATATCAGCACCAGCAAATTACCAATAAAGTGTAGATTACTTAGAATAATTTTTAAAAGTGTACCTTTGACTATCGCGTTATTAAAGAGGCGATAGATAGGTAGATGACAAATGCGCTTTGCGATTCGACGCGACGCGACGTGCGATGATTGAGCGAGACATGCGTGACGACAGGAACATGTGTGGTTTGTATAATGATCTTTTCTCGCATCGTTTAGCACGAAAAATAAGCCGAGTTTACCTGTGTGCAGTACAACTTGCGTTGTAGGGTCTTACGTAACAAGAGTAGGTAAGGTTTTGGACCGATGTACGATCCCGCAAAAATTTGAAAGGCCATGGAGACTCTGGATCCATAGACTCGCTCATGCCAAATATTTTTATTATGCTGTTTAGGTCCCATTCAATCGGATAATGCGCTTAATTCATTCATGCTAAAACAACACACTTAATTGACATGCGGAATAAATCAGGACTTAATAAATGATAACGCATAGACAACATGTTGTCGAAAACAAAATGTATCTGTGCTTGAGGTAGCTCAAAAATAAACTGACGTTATTGTTTAGTTTGTTCTTGATGAAATATGTATGCAAGGACGCAGACGCGTCGATTTTTGAATAGTCTTTGATGCGCCGGTTGCGCGGGATGTGGTCACGGCTTCACCGTCCAACAGATCACTTTAAGCAATTAAATATATTACGAAGACGTTTACATATCGTCTTAAACTAGGCTTACACATTGTGTGTATGGTGTTTTGTATTTTTTGTAAGTGTAGGATTTCTACCAGAATAGCACGAATAGTGAGTACGCAATCCCGTTTTCAGACTAAGAATCGGGACGTATTAAAGTGAAGTCGATTTATAGATACGTGGGCTTTTGTGGATTTTGTGAGCTTTGGTAAGGAACGAACCACTAAACGGCACTTTTACTCTTGAACAGAAAAAGTGGAATAAATACCTAGAGTGCTGAGCATGTAATGCTGATACCTTTTTAAACAACAATTAGAGAAAAGCTGCTTCACTTGAAAGTGTTAATCGGTTGCACGCTGGGCATTTAACGCTGCATATGTTGTGATGTATATAGTGTACTATGTGAGTTCTTGTGTGAACTGAAAAAGGGACAGCGGACTCAAGGTTTATGTATAATGCTTTCTTCTGTAATGCTATATGATGTGGTGCGCTTATAGCACAGAAAAACTCATTGCTGGTAGTCGTTGGACGGACTACGAAGTGCTACCAGGTGTAGCGGGGCACCCTTTGTTAAAGTACCACAAAATTCCACGTACACTCGTACGTGCAGCGGAAGGTCCATCAACTTAAACTGCAAGTTTAAGTAAAGGTGAAAAAAACTGTATTTGATATTGTTAAGTTATGAATATAACTTCACTCTATATCTTTATATCTTAATCTACATTGTCATGTGACGACAACCTGCTCACCACCCATTACGAACGTCTAGCAGCCATGGGTGGTAACCATGGTAATATGTATTTATTAACCAAATCTTCGAGCAGCACGTGAATATTATCCTAAGCAATAATTTTCCATCACTTTTACCTTTTTTGGGCATTATTGGCAGGAGATTGTTACGCTAGACAATCTCACTATTTATACCGTTTGATGCCAATACCACGTAACAAATACTCCGTTAAAATACCTGTACAAGATGCTTTTATCAACATTTGACGTCGGGCATAGTCCAGTCCGCATAAGGGCCTATCGGAAGAGTAAACACTCGTTAAATTACCAGGCCTAACATGGTTCTATATTGTATCATTTTGTTCCTTTTCGAGATCGTGGAGAATTTGGACGGCTCCCCGCCCTTCTCTTTTTCTACCATAAAACTATCGCATTTACTGTTAAAATTACCTTTTAGCGCTTATCAAGCAAGCAAATGCATAAATTGTCCAAACATTCGTCGAGGTTTATAATTTTGTGTACCATGTCGACTCAACTTTCGATGGGTCAGTATTCGTCGACAAAAGCTTGTCAGATAACTATTCGTGCGGCGATAGTAATAGGCGTACTTTTCGGTCTCAAGTTTGTAGAGCGATGTTCACCGGTGTACTTACACTAAGATTATCCCTCACTGAGCTGATCCATAGGATCAGACCTCGATATACTAATAATGTATGTCCTATTCGACTTTACTTGATTGTATTTTGAAGAAATTACACCTTTGATGTAACGGGGCTATAATTACTAGCACTGAAGCAGTACTAGTGCACCTACACTTACAATAGTGTAGGCAGTGCCTCGCTTTACTTCACGTACACCGTTCGTGCAGAGGTAGGCTAGCTAGTGAACGACGCGTTCAATAGGAGTCGCAATTAAAACTGTATTAATTATAATTAAGTACTAAATACATGCAGCAATGTTAGTCCTAACTTGATTATGTTTACAAGCAACAGTGTATGCGAAGTCTTGCTCATTACTCAGTACGCGCGTCCATCGTTGATTGGACCGCTAGAGCTGGCTGATATGATCGCCCATAGCAAGTTATCGGTGAGTCTTTTAGAATATTACCCCTTGTGGCAATATCCACGAGCATTACTAACCTTGATGATAATATTCTGATCAACAAGTATCAAGGTTGATTACATGTAATAGGCTCAACCAGTTCTTTTTGGGATTTCAATACATCACAAAACAGCAAACATAGATCCGTGTGATCGTTACGTTCATCTTGATTACCGGTCGGATCAGTTGGCTATTACACTTTGTAATATCCTTATGAGGTGTAGATTCATTCGATGCAGGAATGTGATGAGATCATCGCTTCACTAAAATTTCTGTGTAGATTTCTTTGGTTAGCGTGGAATTTCTTTCAATGTATCTCTCGGATCTCTGGAAGGTTACAAGGCAATACACGATCCGATTAGATATTTTCATCATACCAAATAAAAAGCGTCAATCGAATAAATGCGTTTATATATACAGTGATGGGTCGTTAGCAAAGACCTAGTGGGTGGTCAACCTTTCTTTATTATAAAAAGTAGTTGAAATACTGCACAATTAACTTTACAAACAGGCATGTAATTTACTTGAATGAAAATGGATTAAAATGTTAATGCTTGAGCTCCGTATTCGTGGATAACAAACGGTAAAATCTTTTGATCGAGGTTATATTGAATTGAGCAGACGTATAATTTCCACTGCTAAAATCATTGGTCGGTTGCTCTTGGGCATTTTTGCTGTGTAGCTCGAAATGCAAAATAAGATCAGAATCCCCAGTTAGATTGTGAATCATGTCTGTAAATATTCTTAAGACATCTGCAATTGCCTTGATTCACGTCCTCCCGTCTTTATTTTTGTATTTGTTAAGGTACGATGACAATTGACGTAGATATCCAAGAGGCGCTTGTACAAATATCGT